ATATATATATATGTTTATTATTATGTAATATTAATACAATAAAATATGAATAAAATAAAACAAAATGTAATATAATAAAAGAGGGAGCACCTTTCTGAATGCTCATAGAATATTCGCTGCGCATTTTTTCTTGTTTTTATATCGAAAAATTTAGTAAGCTGGAATCACTCAGGTATAGAATAATCGATACGGGATTTACATCTGAAAATTCGATTAAAGGAAAATGCGAAATTGGATTGTGTTTACGCATTCCAGATGTTAAACTGCGGATTTCATTTCGCATTCCGATATAACCGCGTGCATCCGCAGCAACGGGTTTATGAAAGTGGTTGCATAAACGTGACGTAGTTTCCGCATTTTAGCTGTTCGACGATTAACGCGATATTTGATCCGATTGTATCGAACGGTAGTCTTTAATTTAATATCTGTGTTGCAGCTGTATAAACCCGATAGTTTACGGGTTTATGTCGAAGCACTTCAGGGAGAACTTCCTGTCGGCTGCCTGCGGTGGATGGTGGATTTTCTGCCCTAGAAGAGGTTACCGGGCATCTGTAACGAGAAATCCAAGTCTCAGCCAGACCAGAAGCACCAGCGTTAGGTACGTCGTGGCTCGTTATGTCAGCTCTGATAAATCGTTGAAGAGAACGAAAAAAAATTGGAGGGAGTTTCGAAATGCGCCCCTATCGATCCTTCGATACGTACCCCGCTGGTATCGTACCCTTTCATAAAATAAAATTTATGGCAATTTTCTCTAAAGCGTTTTTGAGATATATTAACCGTAAAGTTTCCTTATAATGTCCTCAAAAAGTCGCGCTCCTAATTTCCCAGCGAATCACTTTTGTAATTTAGTACGGCACAGCATATTTTTGCTTGAAAACGCAAATAACGGTAATAAATTTAATTAAAACGTAACGTTCGAGATTTTCGAAAAATCATAATTCGCAGAGTGGCTCGAATTCGAATAGTTTATGCAATTTTATGTGACGCGACCGATAAAACGCGTTAATTTGAAAATATACGATTGCATTTCTATTGGAACGAACTGCAAACTAACACTTGATAAATGGCAACAAATAACTCGAGTAATGAAATCTTTCAGTGAGAGTAACCAAAAGCACACTCTACGATAAAAGTTACGTTCGCATAAAGTAGTAATTTTTATGATTGTTGAAACATGAGTGAAGAATTATGAATTATACTTTTCATTTCTGTAAACATTTTCCGTTGAATGAACGTTCACGTCAGCTTTTATAAATTTCGTGTGAAAGGATTCATTATCGTATTGAAAAATGTTCATTCAAATTAAAGCAAATTATAAAAGAGGAAAATATATTCTCGCGCGTTGAACTGTGGAGTTCTCTATCGAAATCGCTTTCCGATTGCTACACTGAAAAAGAAGATTAGCTGCTACAGCAAATTAGGTGGCAAATATGGCATAGTATTTTTAATTGGCTGCAGCAGCCAATTTTTGATTACGTTAGCCTATCTGTGCAATATCAGTATAGGATTTCGATAAGGATTTGCTAATGCAAACAAAAATTGACTGCTGCAATCAATTAAAAATGCTATGTCATATTTTATCATCCAATTTGCTGCAGCAGCCAATCTTTTTTTTTCAGTGTATGAATTCATTTTCCGCGCGGTTTTTTGCAGCTTGAGAATTTTCAACACATTAACAGTAAGCTAAGATTCTCTCCAGCCAAAGTCCTCCGTTTCTGCATGCATGATTCAGGTGGATCCGAAACTCCTTTGGGGAGTCAAAGTCCCGAAACTCGAGCGACCCGCATCCCGTAGACCACCCGTGACACGCTTGCGGGGTTCTCAAGTTCCCCGACAGCGAGAGATCCCCCGAAAGTGCATGTGCGACGAATGTCCGACTAGGGTAGACGAAATGGAGCACGATTCGATCTCGAGGTAAACTACACGGTCGGCCAACGTCGCCATTTCATCTCGCACGTTCACATTCGGCATGACATATCGGTACGCTGCTTCATTAATCCATGCAGACTTACTCCGCATTCAGTTCCGCAGCAAATCAAAGGGTTGAATTAAGCTCCTTTCAGCTTTACTATTGACAGCTTACTTATTGATACGTGACTCCTGAGAGTTTGAGGAAATCCAAGATAGACTTATGTATATAATCTATTCTGTATATTTCGCTCTAAAAAGAAAAGTGTAATCTCTAACAAACACAAATATAATTGTTATATAACATATAGATAAATATACATCATTTATATCTATGTTATGTAGCAGTATTCATGGTTTGCTGGGATACGACATAAAGAAAAGTCGTTTTAAGAATATAATACTAATTAAAAACTGTTGAATAATAGAAAAATATTTAAAGACTTAATTTCTTAAGATCGTAAAAATTACAAAATTGCTATCAACTTTTGAAATGAATTCATTTTTAAGATAAGTCGAATAAATATCAATAATTTCAACCTGAGATTAATATTTGAAAATAACATCGATTCTTAATATTTTTAGTTGAGCAACTTTTAACAAATATGTGCATTAAAAATTATCTATAAAAATAAAATTATGCTCGTTTAATTTATAGTGTCTTCAAAATATGTTTTATGTTTTATGTGTTTAATTATATCATTAAATAACTGCATGTGAGGGATTCAGAATTGGATTTAACTTTATTTTGTAACTTATATGGAGAGATCGTTTCTTTCATTACAGAGTGTAAACATAACAAAGCCGATAATACATTTGCAAACTTACTCGCATTTACGCTTCTCAGTACACAAAGCAATGATCAAGCATTCCATTTTGTGTCTAATTTTATTAACCTTATTTATTTTAGTATCATCTATTTCATATATTTGTTATAGATTTGATTTTATTAATGCACAGAAAAAAAGCTATCATATTATAAATAAAACTATAGTCCGCTGATATTTCTTGTTTTATTCGATCTTGCATCGCGGTGGCGTTGATCAAAGAGTGAATATTTATAAATTGCGAATGACCGCAATTCACCAATATAACGGCGCCAACTAAACTGTTTGTTTTTACATAGCAAAAATAAATCCGCAAAAAAACAATCTGAATGATGTTCTGATCTGATTATACGATAAAATCTATTGAATTCTACACGTCCGTAATTTATTTTCGAACGTTTATTAAGAATATCTATACAATTTTTATGAACATACTGAGAAAAAAATAATTGACTTTAAATATAATTAACTTTAAATAAATTCAATCTCAATTTTTTTGTATCCGGAAAATAACCTGCCGATAGAATAATACCATAAATATCGAGAGATATAACTGTTCAAGAGCATCATATGCAGAACATTTTTCGAAAATAACAAGATTCACAGTTTCTTCAAAATCATAGTTTTTAAATTGTAAGGAATATTTAATAGATCTGGCAAGTAAATTTTGGTAATGAAATTCACATTTCTATTTTTAATTACAAGTGTATATAATTAACTTTAATTTTTAAAATTTTATTTATTAAAATATGTAATGTTAAAAGTCAGAAACTGATAAGATTTGCAATTTAAAAAAAGAAAAGTTTGTGACTTTGCATCTTTTCTCGTTACTAACTTGTATCGCTATTACTAATTGTGAAATTGTGAAAGTAATAAGTTTTTCTGTCAGTTCGTAATTTGATATTAGATTTATTTGAAAATTCGAATGATCAAAGATACAAACGTATATTGAATGTTACAAATTGATTTTTATAATTTATAACATTTATAATTTATAACATTTATAACAAATAAGAGAAATATGTGTAAATTTTTCATAAATCATAATTATCGATAATTATTAAACATAGTATAACATTTTATAATTTGTAAATATTAATTTGTTCATAATGTATATTTCCCAAATATAAACATATTTTCCGCGAACATATTGAATTTAAATATAAATTCAGCTTATTTACACATTTATCTTTTTATGAATAAATGGAGTAATTCAGAGAATTATATAAAATGTTATATTATTGCAACTAATGTCGATAATATTCAAAACATCAATATGATTAATAATAATAAATATTTAATATTCAATTAGGATAACGTTTTATATGTTTCGAAACGTACTTTTTAAATACTTTACAGTGATATTAAATTTCTTTTAAGATTTTTACGCGTGATGTAAGTTTCTTATAATTCTCCGGAGAAAAATACGACGAATGAAAGAATTCCAAGATGTTACAGATTCCATTTCGCAGATCTTTTCAGACTTACCCATATCGATAAGAAAGTTCCGCAATATAGTTTCGTAATCCTGACAGTCTCGTATTTCATCGCAAATATTATCATGAATGTTTGATTGTAAAAATAATTATTCGTTGCATTATTATAAAAGTAATTACAATAATAAATCTATATAAATACACATTGCTTAATTATTCACATTAATTAAATAATATATATACTTTTATATAAATGTAAAAGACTTCTTAAT